GCGGACGGAGTCGAGCGACAGATAGTGTGCCAAAAAAATGAAAGTAACTTAAACATTACGACATATTTTGTTTCACTGCGCCATCGTATAATATTATAGTTTAAATGTCGTGTCTATAATCATTTGTTTCATTTTGAAAAAGGTTGAAAGGCAAAGAACAATCTGATTAAGTTTTATTAGACGTTTTTGGGCAGTTAAATGTAGCCTTGAACTGTTTATTACATTAGTCAATGCTAGGGTCGGTCAATCCAAACTCCAAAAACAAGGTCGCAAAAAGCGTTACAGCTTGGAATGTTATCGAAGCAATCGCATTGCAGTGGTAACAAAATTTGAATATAATTTGTTCAAATTCTTAAAGGAAAATATTTGTTTTAATTTGAAATAAAAATTACACTAAATGCATTCAGAGACAAAAGAGAAATCTATAATAAGGGAATGTTAAACCACTAAACGTGGGTTTATGAGACCGTTGTCCATCATTATCTTTGACAAAACAGAGATAGCAATATGTTTTGGATGGGGATTTTAGTCTCAGAAACTCACGGTAAAATTTTAAATTTTAATTACTCCTGTATAAATAAAACATTTTTAGAAATTCTTCAATAATTTTAAAGTCGCAAAGATAAAGGAAACTATTGTTAAATAGTTGTTATATCAATATAAAGAGAAGTAAACATATAGCCAAATATTTGATCGTATTTGATTTCCATTTTCATGGATGACATCGCATCTTTTGAGGCGTGATTTTGATATAGGTCGCGGCGAAACCCTTACCCTTGGGTGATGCGAGACTTTTTTGACGCAATCAATATATAGCTAAGTAAACTATTAAAATATTTTTACATCATTGCATGTTTAACATGTTGATGTTATTCAAACATAAACCATTCCACGGCGACTAAGAAAACTCGAACCCAAAACCAGACACGGCGATTAAGAAAATTAGAACCCCAAAACTTTTAGATAGAAATTCTTCATATTTAACCATGAGCCTATTGGCACTTTGAAGATCATACATTTCATTCATACAATTCATACATAATTAAGACAACATGCGGCGATTTTAATTGAAAATTAAGTCTGAATATTATAAAATAAACTTAATAACACATATGTACAAAGAGTAATAACTACGCTTAAATTTGTATGTAATTTTATGTTTAAAAATATTTTCCTATAAAAATAGGAGGCAATTTCCTTTCTATATTGACGTAACATTTCATAGGCACATTAAATTATAAATGAATCAAGAAGTAATTTATAAAAGTAAATTAAATTTTCTTATATCGTTTTAAAACGAGCTTACGTGAGTCATGAACACTTTAAACAAAAAAAAACTACAAAGAAAAAACAGCTAATTCTTACAGTAGTTAAAAAGAAAATCTGATAAAATTTGTCGCCGGAAAAAACACCTTGAACCGAGTTTCAGTTCGGGGAATTTTATTGTTTTCGAAGCTCTGTATAAACACGTATAATTTTAGGTAAAACCTCGCAATGTTATTTTGATACGAAGACAAAATATATGTAAAAAGTTACATAAAAAAATATTTTTAACTAGCTGTCGCCTGCGACTCCGTCCGTTCCGCGCGGAATTAAAAAAAAACCTAATAAGAAGCCTAAGTGTTCTTCCAGACTATGTTCCACATCTATGCCAAATCTCAGCGAGATCCGTTCAGCCGTTCCGGAGATATCATCAAACAAACATCAATCCATCTAAACATTCGCATTAGTAAGATTTTTTTTTAGTTACCTGCATTATCGTGTTAGAAATTATTAATCAAACGAAAACTAAATAACTATTAAGTACTTGTGGAAGAAAAGAGAAAGTTGTGTCAAGACAAAACATAGAAATCGGTAAGAATTGCTTGAAATCAGTTTAAAAGCAATTTGATTTTTAATATAAGTACTTAACTATTGCATTTAAGACATATTGGCTCTTAGCCTACATTCATTTCCATCTTTATTGCACAAACAGAACAGCACTTTATCAGAGTATCTTGAAAAAATCTTTTGTTTTAAAAACTAATGACTCCTTTTATTCAATTCTTTTAGTTTGCAATGTAATCGATCATTTTTCTTTTAGCTAAAGGTCAAGGTAACTATTTCCGACGCTTACTATCCAATTATTATAAATCATAGAGTTGTATAATTTGCCACTGAAGATTATAATAATAGGCTTAACGTTAAAGACATTCCAAGGTTGTAATAAGGTTTTCAGTAGAACAAGCGTAAATCTCGACAATGTTTATAGTAGTCTGAGTATTGGAAACTGGTCTCAACGAACTTCAAAACTGAGACTACGAAGTTCTTTTATGCTTGTACCTGTAACAAAACTAGCTTAATCTATGTCCGTACATCATTGGTTGACGCTAGATATGACAATCTTTTTTTTATTATAAGGTGTCAAACAAGCAAGCGGCCAGCTGAATTCACTGAAATGGGAAAGCAACCGTTGCCCGTAGACATCCGCTGCATATGTGTCGCCTACTTTTAATCGACGGAGGAGGAGACGCACATAAAAAGAAAATATGTCTCCCTCCTTTCAATCCACTTACATCTTGAAAAGGTTGGGAAGGGAAAGAGGAATAAAATAAGACAGACCTTCGGAACGCAACTACGACTTATAATAAAGTTTTATTTTTAACGACCTGTAGGTATTCTATTAACAAAAGCTTGTGTTGTTACGTGATAAGTGATTGTCCACCTTGTTTCGGGTGCCCCACATACGGTGCAACTTAACATTTTGGCAAGCGGACAAGGTCCGGTCACATTGATTTGTAATCTGCTTCGTTTGCTTACATTTGAATTGATCTTTATTACGTGTTGATAGAAGTAAATAACTTTTATTTAATTAAAAGAAGAGACGCCCTTCTTAGCTGGTATCGAATTTCCCGCAATTTTTAGGGTTCCGTACCTCATAGGAAAAAAACGGAACCCTTATAGGATCACTTTGTTGTCCGTCCCTCTGTCTGTCTTTTTTTATATCATAAGGTGGTAAACAAAAGAGTGGCCACATAAATTCGCCGAAATAGTTAAGCGAATAAATGAAGTTTTTTTCTTTTCACCGGGCTTAAGGTGCCCGAGCGCAGATGGCGCTTAGCGCAAACCTCGTTTAAGACTAAGTTCGGGGGCTCCCTTAGGGACCTCGGTTCGGCCCGTTACTCCGTTATTATTGTCATTTTTAATTTGTTTTATTTTATGAGTATATAGTTGTATTTAATAAGAGAAATATGAGAAAGATTGTTTAGAGGGTCAAAAACTGCTGACCTTGAATCGAGTGAGACAACGACGAGAAAGAAGACGAAGAGAAAAATTAATGATGTAATGTTATTTAGCAAAAGTAATCAACTTGCATTTATCTATGCTACTGTGAATTTAAATATTAAAATATACCAACAAATAATTATTTAAACAACAATCCTTTCTCATGTGAATGTGCCCAGTTTTTCATTTTGTTCAGTAATTTATTCTTGTAACATTAATCTTCTTCCTTAACTCAGTTGGCAAAGATTAACATAGGCAACGCAATTTTAACCGTTTAAAGTATATGGGAGCATTATTTTGTTTTTGAACGTTGTTTTAAGATTAGTTTTCACTACCGTATCCTTTAAACAAAGAATATTAGATATTTTAACTTTATCAAAAAAATTTAATATAACATTTTTGTAATTATATTAAAAAGACTAAACTTCTTTAAGGATTAAAAAGGCATAGTGAGTAATTACAGTCGATTTTTAGACATTATTTACCGCGCGCCTCTGTCTGGATAACTTAAGAACATTTATTTGACTTTGATTGACTTTAAAACTTAGTAAAATCGGGCTCTCGAGAGATTACTTTTAGATCAATGTTTCTTAAAGATATTATAATCTTTTTTTGTATCATAAGGTGGCCAACGAGCTAGCGGCCACTTGACATCGCTGAAATAGCGAAGTGAGCGTTGCCTATAGACATACGCAGTTGCATATACGGTTTACCTTTAATCGAATGAAGAGAGGATGCATAGAAAGATTTTCGTCCCTTACCATGCATCCACTCATCCGGAATGTCCACTTCCACTTCCCATCCTTTCCTCATAAGAAAAAGGGTGGGAAGGAAAAGAGAACTAGATTAGGCCTCCGGGACGCACACTCATCAGACGAAACGCAGAATTGCTTCCACTTCTCGCCTGTCTTCTGTGTGGTCTTCTGTATCTTTATAAAAGTTATTATTGAGTTAAAACTGTCTACTTGTACACAAATTCGACTGGGCCTGTAGTCTAAGCCCTGTAGTTATCCCTATTTTAAGGTAGGTTCGAGCCCTTCGGTTGAAACCTGATTGTGATGACAACTTTAGAGTACCTTGTTAATCAATATTTTAGTCGCACTGACCTATATAAGGGGAGATGATGCGAAGTGAAACAAAAAAACGAAAAGCGAATGCATTGACTCCAAAGCTTAGCTTACAGTCACGCGATCCGTTCGCGTCGCAAGCTTACTGCCTATTGTTGTAGATATAACAATGTTTAGATACGACAAACAAAAATAAATGTTTTATTACCAAACAACAAAATTCGTTATTTGTTATCTGTAGCTGAGTGGGAAAAAGGTATTAAATGGAGAAATGAAAAGCAAGGAAGGGGCATTTTTAATGTATGAAGGTAATGTGGATTATGTCAGACGCATGTCAACCAAATCTTGAATCAATGTTTTCCTGTGCCAGTTGATTCAGAGTTGATGCACAATACTTTCTCTCATTTCTTAATAAACTCGAATCGAATCATTCATGTTACAAAAATTGTTTTCAAAGTTACAGGAATATTATTTAACAATGTCCCCTCTATGCAAATACATATAGCACAAAAGCAATTCCTTGGTCGCTATAACGACGGATAGCCCCACTGTTTACGAGCCAAAGTCTGCACGAGAAACAGTAACGCACCAACCGAGCTGGCGCCTACTGCCAACCGTAAGGGCTTTTAAAAATGTCCATACATTCGTATAACCGCGACAAGTCAGAACGTGAGAAATAAAACCATTGAATAAATTAAATCAGTGAATAGTGAAAATGATTTGTGCTATAGTGTTGGTATTATTCGTTTCCGAAGTTCTATCAGCTAGAGAACCAAAACAAGTTATGATAGCCAACCAAGGAATGATATCAGGGATGTATATCACTCGGTTTCGTACCAAAAGGATAGCAGCATACGTCGGAATACCATACGCCCAGCCGCCAATAGATTACAGAAGATTTACTCCACCAGAATACACCGATTTACCCCAATGGGAAGGTGTAAGGAATGCCACTGTTTATGCACCTGATTGTATGCAAAGAGATCCTAAGAAAGAAGATGTACAGAATCCTTTAAATAAACATGATGAGTTGTTTATGAAACTTTTGGAATCTCAGATGGAGGAGCCTAGACAAAAGGAATATTCAGAAGATTGTCTTTACCTAAATGTTTATATTCCAGATGGTAAAGTAGCTAATACACTATTATTATTTTAAATGATTATATTCAATTTGTTCTGTTTATTAAAATTAAGAATAATAATTGAAATTAGACACACTTAATGTTGACAGATCGATCTGAAATTCGGTACACATCTTTAGTTTTGATGAATTCAAGAATTTTGTTTTTTAATTTTAAAAATAAATTAAAATTTTATCTCAAAAACTTAGTAAATTTGTAATTTAGAATATAAATTATTCTAGACTAATAGTTGCTCGTGATTTCGACTGTGCGGAAATAAAAAAAATCTAGTAATAAATATAGCCTAATCACTTGGGGATAGTGTAGCTTTCCAAAAGTAAAGGAAATTTTCAAATCGCCTTAGTAGTTTCCGTAGCCTCATTGCAAACAAACAAACAATTAATATTTTCTCTTTATAATATAGATATAGATTAAGACAGCGTTAAGATAATTTTAGAGTAAATAGCGTTAGGTACAAAACTTTCGCTTAGTCCTTTATTAACCTAGTTTACAAATACCAAATGGTCTCCCTTTAATCAGATAAGAATTTCGTTCTACGACCGCGTGTATCAAGTTTTGTTCGTCGGTATTCTAGGCCTCCCCTCGTTTGATTTAAGCCCGATAGTTCACAAGCAATGAATCATATTTATTCTTGCCATTATTGTATCAGCGAAATACCAAGGTTGATAGAATTTGATTAACTTAGAAAAAGTTCTAACAATTTATTTTGATATCTAAATAACATTATTACGGGTGTTTTTATATGTTATACTCTAAATGTATTACGGAAGGATAAATATTTTTTCTGTATGTCCCCTCCTCCGTCGAATAAATGTAGTCAACGTATCCTCAATTGCTGATGTCTATATTTCAGCGAATCCAGGTGACCGATAGCTTGTTTGCAGCCGAATAACATATGAAAATGTTGAATTTGATTAATATAAACCGCATTTGTTAAAGAAATATTAAAATTCAAAGTTTAACATCGTTTCATAGTATGTTTTCAACACTATTGTAGTATGTGAAATAAATGTCTTAAGGAAAATATTTCAGGTAAATATGAAACCACCGAAAGGCATTAAGATGAAGCTGAAAGAACGCCCCATTACCCTCTCAAAAGAAAAAGGGAAACTTGTACCTGTAATCAGGAGCCTTTTGTTCACCTTGATATCGCGGTTCCGGAGTGTTAAACCTTTTTTACATCCTCTTTTTATATCTTTTCATAAAACATAAGTCGATATCATATTAACATTATTCCGCAGGATTGGTTTAATATTCCTTTAAACAAAATAACTAGAAAAACAGAAACGAATTTTAAATATAAAACTAATTTTAAGGTAGGGTAAATGTACTAGTAATAGTCTAGTCGGCGAAATGAGAACTAATTGTTTTGTAAAGACAATATTAATTTTAATTGTGGACAGAAAAAAGATGTTGCTACTGTAACGTATTTATATTACACGCCAATCTATTATAAATATATTTTATAATTAGTATAATAAAAAATCCTAACAAAAATTATCAATAACTGGGGTAACACACCTACATTTCGAATGACATGGATGCATTTTGTTAGGCTAGAGAATAAAAGTAAGCCATATTTCTTTTGTTAAATAAGGGTTTGTTTAATAGATTTTTGTTAACTAAAATATTTTTATATAGTTTACTGTTGGTGTCCAAGATTAAAATGTCTATATAAAACATATAGTTGTCTTTGACAAAAAGCGATGACAATATATTTTTAACGGGATTGTGGTCTCAGAAAATCACTGTTAGTGTTGTAGAAAAATATCTATTACTTTCTTTCTTCTATTATTATTTAAAAGGTAATTTTAAGAGTTGTATTTCCTTAGTATTTTTAATTCGTAATATTTGGATAATCGAAGTCATAATTAAAGTATGAATTTTTAAAATGAGATTAAATTACTTACCAACACGAGTTTCCAGTTTTGGAATCTACTTTTTTTTTTCATTAAAACTTTTTCTTTAAGATTGCTTTTACTTAATCTAAAGTTTGAAGTATCGATATTCGTAATTTATGAAAGATTTTGTTACGGAAAAAAATATTTGGAGTCCGTCAAAGGAAATACCTAATTAAAGGCGAGGAGCCCAAGCATTTGTAATATGTAAAAAATATAATATCGTCCCTTTTCATTATCTTTAAAACAAAAGAGATAGAAATATATTTGTATAGATATTGTTTTCAATACTATATGTTCTTCTTACTAATATTATAAATGTTAAAGTTTCAATGTATGGATGTTTGTTAGTAATACTAAAACTCATAACTAAAACTAAAGCTCATAGTTAGTAAGGATTTTTTAATTCGTAATATTTTTGTACTCCAACTGTAAAATAGATAAAAACCATTTTGTACCTTTAATGAATGTCAAGCGTCAATAGCCTAATGGTTAAGGGTACGGATTTCCGTTCACGAGGTCGGGGGTTCGAATCCCGCCATTCGACTATTGTCGTAAACCATATCCTAGCACAAGCATAGAGCTTAGTTGGAATGGTACAAGAAATATTAGTAAATTTACACAAAAAATCTGCTAATATTTTTACAAAAAAAAAATGTTACGAGTTTAAATTTATAGTATTATTACGCTATTTTCAATAATAGAGTATCGATTAAACATTATCATAACTCTACATAATGGTTTTACTCTAGCGTTTTTCATATTTATTGTTGTTTGGCAAAATATATAATAGCTTTTTTATAAACGTTTCTTTTGGTACGGTTTTTATAAACATTAAAATCACGTCCCGGGACTTTAACGCTTAATTTTCGATCCCTCTATATTATTCTTTGATCTTCGACATCCACTAAGTTTGTGATGGCGTTTGGAAAGTTCTCGAACCTTTTAAAATTGGCGGACCTTTTCGTACGCGACTCGAGTGGGTATTAGTCTTAGAAAAAGTTTTTAGAATGCCGTTTTGATTTTTGTTATGTTCAAAAAAAAATTCAAATTATTTCTATAGTGATTACACGCATAACGCCAGTAACTCAGACAGATAGATAGAGATTATGAATTTCCATTTCACGCGGCCCTGACAAATCTCTTTCACCTCGTCTACATTGAAATATCTACAAAAGCAATTATTAATTGTAGTAAAAGTTTGTATAAAATGTTAAAGAAGACAATTTTTTATTAGTATTTTTGTATTTGTATTATTGACACGGTACATTAATTATTTCCACTTTTCTCGTTCACTAACAATACAGAGCTCGACATTCTCAGATTGAACGTATCACGTGTGCGGCCATGTTTGATATTACGATAACCCTGTCAGCGAGCCTTAGCGCCGACAAATACAAATGCTAATAAAGTTTTAATAAATTATAAAGTCTCTTGCACACGCAAATGAAAAACGAAAACGAATGGAAAAGACATAAAACCCGACTGATCGAAACCCGGCCTATAGTAAAACGAAATTTGCTTTATATTTTTCTTTCGAGCTTATTTCTTTCTTAATTAACATTAAAATATAATTTTGAAACATATATTAGTAGCGTCAATAGCCTAATAGTTAAGGGTACGGTTTTCCGATCACGAGTCGTCGGGGGTTCGAATCCCGCGATTCGACTATCGTTGTAAACCATATCCTAGCACAAGCCTAGAGCTTAGTTGGAATGGTAAAAGAAATATAAGTAATCTTACAAATAAATCTACTAATATTTTTTCTTAAAAAGAAATATTAAAAATAAACAAAAATTGGATTTTTAATAACAAAAGAAACTGATTTAAATTCGTTCCCAATTAAAGTACTAAAAATAGTTATAACTTTTAAACAGTTGAATAAATCTTATATAATAAATATAACAAATTAGATCTCAGATTACATTTCAGCTTTTCATGGGGTTTGCTCGAAATATTTCATCAAATAAGTCAAGTAAAAGGTTTGCCCTATCACGTTGAGGATATAAAAACATAGCAAAAAGGATTTTCTTGGTTTTCAGTTACCCTACTTATAGCTTATTAAATCTTCATACGTTATTTAACCCCTTTAACTTGTATGTAGGCAATTCTCGCCTTGTTAATCTGGTATGGCGAAATCAAAAGGCACTAAGTAATGTAGATAGGGTTGTCGCACGAATATTTTTATATAAAAGATATAAAAATATTTTTCTGTTTTATACGGAATGAGAATGTGCAAAAAATGATTGTTGATTCTTTCTCGCGTCTTTTACCTTATCAAAAAATAAATTTGACTTAATTGTAAATATTATCAAAAATAATTATTTTTGTGTCAAAATCGCCCCAGTATTGTATTTACTAGCACTTTTTAGATTATTATTTTAATGCTAATAATTCTAAGTATGCAAATAATAGCTTGCATTTTTTATTTACATTTTTTTTATATCATAAGGTGGCAGACGAGCAAGCCGCCACCTAAGTTCGCTGAAATAGCGAAGTGACCGTTGCCCATAGACATACGCAATTGCATATGCGTTGCCTACCTTTAATCGACGGAGAAAGGATGCACAGAAAGAAAATATCTTCCCTTCCCATGCATCCTCTCATCCGGAAAGTCCATTTCCACTTCCCATCCTTTCCCTATAAAAAAAAGGGTGGGAAGGGAAAGAGGACTGAATTAGGCTTCCGGGACGCACACTCGTCAGACGAAACGCGGAATTCTATGTGGTCGTGGTATTTCACCGGGCGAGCCGGGCCAATTCGTGCGAAGATATTAAAGCGGGCTCTACCACTGTTAAATACATTTATATTAATAGTAAGTGGTAACCCTGAGTGAAAAATGTTGTATATGCTCGTACGTATTAGAAGGCAGTAATTAAACTGAGGGCAGAGTATGCGTGACGGCGTCGCAATGTTACGCTGGAAATTTGAATAAACCACGCATAATAATTACTTTCGTATACGCGCTTAAGTTTGAGGTTAAATTTTCTCAGCGGGTTATAACATATTGATTGTTTAAGGGTCGATTCCACGTGTGATTTTGTTGTTATAAACAAACTACTAGGTTCCTAAAATGCACTTTTAATTATTTGTTCTTTTTCTCTACATATAAACTTAAATTTCGAAAACTAAGAAATCACTCTTGACCGTTACTAGTCAAACTAAAAGAAACCAAGTTCACAACTTACATGTTGGTCCACTTTCCTGTCTTTGCCTATCCTTCTTCTTCTTTTACCTTTCGTATCACTTTGGATTAGCCTTCCTTGTCTTATCTCTCGAGACAGCAGTATTACTGGGAGAATCGTCATCCTGTCGTAACGTTTCAATACTATTTCTGGAAATTCTGTGATTCACTTAAAGGCATGAGTTAGCCTTGAATACAAAACATCAGATGCAATAAAATAGCATACATTTATGCATGAATGAGAAATGAAGAATTTAATAATAATGTGGTTTTTCAGAAATAAATTAAAAGCGTATGCTTTGAAATATCTAAAGAATCATTTAATGCATATTTCTATTTTCTATTCGTGTGTGTACAAAGCGTAACCTACTTCTGCGAACACATAATAACAATGCAGTCTATTAAACATCGCGGTTTTCAAGTAAATTCCAGTCATTAATGCAAGAATTCCGTGCCAATAGCTTACTCGTTAGGGGCACTTTGACTTGTCGACCTAACCTTAATCTCATTTCTGACCTGAATAATAATTTAACGGTTGAAAAGAAACGTATGTTTCCGCACAACGGTCATTTGCTACAAATTGTTTCCTAGACTTTTTTTTGCAATGTTATCGCTGGATTGACCTTCAATCTTATATCATAACTTAATAGGTACAATTAGAATTAAAGTCATCGTAAAGCTTAATAATAATTCAAAGAGTTTTTAAAAAACAAATTCATAAAGATTAAATTATTCGAAGATTATTTTCATAAAATTCTAACATTTAATTTTTATAGTGATTTTGATTGTGTCTTCTTTTTTTATAACTTTTTATATTGTTGTTGTCAGAGTTTCTTTTATTATCGTTTTAAAAATATTCTTATTACAGATTTAAAAGTTGAGGGATATCCAACGATGGTGTGGTTTCACGGCGGAGACTTCATACGAGGCAGCCCTAATTCACTTAATCCTTTCCAACTTGTATTAAAACAAAAGGTATTCCTTATTATTTCACATTTATATATTTTTTTTATATATCATAAGGTGGCAAATGTGCGAGCGGCCACGTGAAATCGCTGAAATAGCGAAGTGACCGTTGCCCATAGACATACGCAATTGCATATGCATTGCCTACCTTTAATCGACGGAGGAGAGGATGCACAGAAAGAAAATATTTCCATGCTTCCTCTCATCCGGAAAATCCACTTCCACTTCCCATCCGTTCCTTATAAGAAAAAGGGTGGGAAGGGAAAGAGGATTAAATTAGGCCTCCGGGACGCACACTCATCAGACGAAACGCGGAATTGCTTCCACTTCACGCCTGTCTTCTGTGTGATCGTGGTATTTCACCGGGCGAGCCGGGCCAATTCGTGCGAAGATGTTAAAGCGGAGTCTACCACTGTTAAAAATTTAATTGGATATTTATTTATAAACTTCAATACTAAGAAATAACGGCAAGTATAGATACACACTGTGTTAAAAGTATATTTTTTTCTCTTCTATGTACAGTCAGCGTCATATAGATCGTCACAGACAAGATATGCAAATATATAGGTACATCAAAAGTAATCAATTATATCGGTACAACAAAAGTCCTCAAAATAATAGATACATTCACCCTGCTCAAAAACATCGGTACATACACAGCGTCAAATATATGAGTACATGCAAGATGCTCATAAATATCGTAGCAGCCACAGCGTCATAAGTAACGAAGCAGTCAAGGTGCGCAAAAATATCGGTACATTTGACAAAATTGAACTCTATCTCTATATACTTGTGATACAAATTGGAATAAACTACTTCTGTTACATTCATTTGACAATTTCATCAAACCATTTTTCAAAATTTACTAAAAGTGTTCGACGCGGATGACAGATATTATTTAGATAAAACCAACATCAAATTTAAGTTTGTCATCATATATGCTAGTTTGGTCTCGTGGCCTTACCGTTCGCCGCCGTTGGTACGTAAGGTCGGCGGTTCAAATCCCAAGCCACTATTTTTTTTTGATATTTAAACTTTTTAATTTTAATATCGAAGCACATGTAATTAAATTCTATCGCCGTAGTTGCCTTGGACTAATGAGTACTTTTCTATTTCAAACAAAAATGAAGGAGATAAAGCGATGCTATTGGCATGTAATTTGTTTATTCCTCATGTTTGTTAAGCTTGTAACGGTAAAAATAACACTTTTACTTTTACCTTTTACTGATACTGATTATATTTAAGAAACAAAGAAAAAAACTGAATGTTAATATCCAAACTACATCAAATTTTTGGTCGATTGCAATAAACATTCCAGTGTGCGTGGGCGCGCACACATATGTAGATAACACTTGTACGTATAGTTTCCGCGCGTACCATTCTTAAAACCCGCAAAGACAATCCACGCTCCGCCCACTCACTTCACCCGCGATGGTCTGACCTAATTGTTGTTAACTTTATTTAAATTTCTTTCTACCCGACAGCGAAAATTATAAAAAAAAATTGTCGAGCAAAATTTTACATTACCAAATTTTTACTGGTTATGAAAAAATAACCCCATGATTGATAAAATGAAAAAAAAGTAGCCTGAGATTCGAACCGGTAAACTTACATATTACGGCAAACATACTAGAATACTGCGCCAAACTAGTATTATATATATTGTGACAAGGCAAAATTTGATATTAGTTAATACGTATCTGTCATATTCGGCGTGACAAACTTTTATATTTAAGCGTTATGACAGAAGAAGAAAAATATTGGGTTGCCCAGTAAGTTCGTGCCGCTTTATAAGGAAAATTGAAACCCTGTTCTCTTAAATTTTTGGAAATGTTTTTAAATTATATTGGTACGACTCTATACCTAAAACGTCTTTTATTATTGGATAAAATTTTAAAAATTAGTTTTTATCTCAACCAATGAAATGAAATTATTCACAATATAGAAATATTTGTGACGTTTGATAATGGTGGAAATCCGAAAATGAATCCACTTCAGCTACAGTCTATTGTAAGCTTTATATCGAAAATCAGAACGAACTTTCCGGACAACCTATAATGTTAATACAAAGTGTCAAATGAATGTAACAGAAGTAGTTTATTCCAAATTGTATCACAAGTATATAGAGATAGAGTTCAATTTTGTCAAATGTACCGATATTTTTGCGCATCTTGACTGCTTCGTTACTTATGACGCTGTGGCTGCTACGATATTTATGAGCATCTTGCATGTACTCATATATTTGACGCTGTGTATGTACCGATATATTTGAGCAGGGTGAATGTATCTATTATTTTGAGGACTTTTGTTGTACCGATATAATTGAATACTTTTGGTGTACCTATATATTTGCATATCTTGTCTGTGACGATCTATATGACGCTGACTGTACTTTACTTTTTTTCCATGTACTGTTTGTAAATTAAATATTTTGAATGTTAAACAAAAGTAGTGATCCTCTAACATTGATGTAATTTTTTCAGGTGATTTTTATATCTGTCGCCTATCGTCTGA